AAACGTTGATTTTGAAGCTACAAAGTGTGAAAATTGGAGGAAGTCTGGCACGAAATGCTCGTTTTGATGCTCCAACGTGTCTCGTCTCGAGTCTCTGGTTTTCCTGTGGCCTCGCCGTGTCTATGGGGGAAGCTGCAAAACATTTCCTTTTCGAATGTGGCAAAGCAAGTTGTAATGTGGTTTTGCGTGGCAGGCGTGGCACTTCCTGACATTTCCACGTGTCTGCAAAAAGTGTCGAAAGTCATCTTGTGTGGCAAGCGCAATCCTTTGGCGTCGTTTTCAGAAAAGAACTTGCATTTTCGTGGCAGGCGCAGCACTTTGGAGACCTCCATCGTCATTTTGCGTGGCAGGCGCATCAAAAGTGTCGCATTGCATGCTCTACACTCCACACTCTACACTCCACACTTCCACACTTTACACTCCATACTTCACACTCCACACTTTATACTCCACACTTTACACTTTATACTCCACACTTTACACTTTATACTCCACACTTTACACTTTATATATCTTTATACTCCACACTCCACACTCGACACTCCACGCTCCAAACTTCACACACCACGCTCCACACTCTACACTTTACACTCCACACTCCAGACTTTACACTTTACACTTTGCACTCCACGCTTCACACTCCACACATCTCCACACTTTGCACTTTACACTTTACACTCCACACATCTCCACACATCTCCACACTTTACAATTTACAATTTCATCTTCACACTCCACACTCTACATCACACACTCCACACTTCACACTCCACACTCTACACTTTAAACTACACACTCCACACTCTACACTCCACACTTTACACTGTACACTCCACTCTTTACACTTTACACTCCACACTTTACACCACACAATCCAGACTCCACAATTTACACTCCACACTAAACCCTTCACACCCCACACTTTATACTCTACACTCCACACTTCACACTCTACAGTTTACACTCCACACTCTCCACTTTACACTCCACACTCCACACTTTACCCTGCACACTTTACACTTTACACTCCACACTCCACACTTTACACTCTAAACTTTACACTCCAAACTCTACACTCTAAAATTTACACTCCGCACTTTACACTTTACACTCCAAACTCCCTACTACACTTCACACTCCACACTTTACACTCCACACTGCACACTTTACACTTCACACTCCACACTCTACACTTTGCATCAGTTCGCACTCCACACTCCACACTTTACACTTTACACTCTACACCTTACACTCTACACTTCACGCTCCACACTTTACAGTACACCCCACACTCTACACTCCACACTTTACACCCCACATTCCGCACTATACACTCCACACTGTACACTCTACACTCCACACTTTACACTCTACACTTTACACTTTACACTCGACACTCTACACTTTACACTCTACACTTTACACTCTACACTTTGCACTCCACACTTTACGCTCCACACTTTACACTCTACACTTTACACTCCACACTTTACACTCCACACTTTACACTCCACACTTTACACTCCACACTTTACACTCTATACTTCACACTCCACACTCTACACTCCACACTCCACACTTTACACTTTACACCTTGCACTCCACACTCGACACTCCACACTCTACACTCTACACTTTACACTCCACACTCCAGACTCTACACTTTACACTTTGCACTCCACACTTCACACTCCACACATCTCCACACTTTGCACTTTACACTCCACACTTTACAATTTCATCTTCACACTCCACACTTTACACTTTACACTCCACACTTTACAATTTACACTTTACACTCCACACTTTACACTGTACACTCTACACTTTACAATTTACACTTTACACTCCACACTTTACACTTTACACTCCACACTTTACAATTTACACTTTACACTCCACACTTTAAACTTTACACTTCAAACTTTACAGAGTGCCTGTTCAAATAACCTGTTTCACAAAAGTGTTGTACGTGACAGATTCGGGTTCGTGGGCTGCATCTTGTTTTGATTTTAAAAGCAGATCTGCGCAGGCATCAGTCAAACTTGCAACAAAGGTTTCCTTCTTTATACACGCTACAATCCTCCTGAAGCACTTGCATTCTAAAGCCATGAGCAAGCTTGGGTAAGCAGCGCAGTGTCTGTCGATACCCTGATGAAGTCCTATTGGTTGATTAACAAAGGTGCCAGTTTGTGGTCGGAAAATTGATAATTAACGAATATTTAAGGAGTCAAGTATTGAGAATGAGGATTTAAACGGCACAAATTGGGGTGAACTATCACACAACGATGTGAAGGGTAGTTTAGTACAAGTTAATTTTTTGCTGGACATGGGGCATATACCAACCAGCTAAACAAGAATATCAAGAATCATGTTTTGCAATAGTTTGCAGATTTTTGCAGGGCAGCTATTTTAGTCACAAACTTTGGAATACGAAGCCAAGAAACATGGGGAATGTGTGACATGGACTGACCCATGGGGAGAATAAGTGAGAGTGGAGATATATAGGCCTGTTCAAGCAAGCAACATTGAGGATGTTATTCAACCCGCAAGAATGTGGCGTTCCGCGCCCCCGCATGTCCACAGGCTGGAACATCAGCCAGTTCTTCAGTACACCCCCAGAAACTAACATCGACTTGGGTTGGTACAGACATGGGCTATACAGTATACAGTATCTAGTAACATAGACTATATTCCACAATCAGACGCACATACACACACATATAATATATATATATACAATATATAATTATATATTATATATGATTAAATATTTAATTTTATATATATATATATAATTATGTATTTAATTATATATATATACACACCCCAACATGTCCATCACATGAATCCAGATTTGGCAAAGCCAAGTGGGAAATCTCCGCCAGCGCCATGAATTCCCTTCCGATTGAAGCAGCTGAAGTAAGGAGAAGAAGAGGCTCAACAGGTCGACTTGCCGCTTGACGATGGGAGAGGACTGGGAAATCCTGAAATCCTGAAGATCAACCCATTAAATCATTAATCACCAAGCCATTCCATCGCCATTTGTATGGGTATATAGCATTTTTATTTATGTTTACTATCAGCAAATGGTAGGTTTATGGCATTGGTTTTCTCACATTATATAGTCGTTTTTCTCATTCAACATGCAGATGTCGGTTTCATCTTGCAGCACTTGGCGTCTAACTGTCGAACCACATCAAACTTGTCAACGAAAAGTGCTATACATATATATATATATTTATTTATATACATATACAGATACATATACATATTATCTTATGTAATGGACATGTAAAAATCTCACACGCAAGCGCGCACGATAAATATACGATATAATAATGGTTTGCATGTGCATATATGTGTCTGTTTGGGTTGACCTACCTAGAGATTTCATGATTTTAACTCACTTTGACTTTGATTGTTGTGCTTATGTTTCAAGTGTTCAGATTGAATCAGAAAAGGTTCTCATAGCAGTGGCCTGTAGCTTGCTTGTACGGCAGAGAATTGCTCGCACAGCCTCTGATCAAACATTACATAATACTATAATAAAATCATAAAATCATAAATGTTCCAATGCAGCATGAACATCAGCACAAGTTTGGGGAGAAGAAATGAAATCACAAGACAGTCACTGCACCTGTTTTTTTGAATCTTTTTGCAGGGATACAGTAGGGGTGAGGAGGGAAAGCATGCAGCGGCGAAGTCATTCTATGACTTTGAGGCCTTTAAGTGTAGCAAATGCACACTTGAAGTTCCAAACCTGAGAAGATGAGAACTAAAGCCCGTGTTTTTGCTCGCTGAAATAATCTCGGAAGGCGCCGGTTGTATTATATTTTAAAGCAAGGGAAAATGAAGGTTGGAAAGTCATGAGGAAGGTCAATTAGATTGGCAAGCTTGATAATTGTTGACAATGCGGGAGTGATCTTGTTGTTGAAGACAAGTGGGGTTGGTTTGATTTTGCTGTTTCTCCTTTAGCATTACATCTACGATGTTTGTTGTTTTCACCATATGCGGACATATGCGGACACAGGCATGTCCCTTTCCCCGCAAACACAAAGGATATGATGTAACCATGAAAAGGCCAACATGGTTGTATCGCGGCTTTGCTTCTTACGAGCAAACTGAATGGTTGCGTATCACACTCCTAGTGAAGAGGATATCGCGTCTGGTTTCACAAAATCAATTTGTGGGAAGGCATGCAGCTATGACTCTACAGGAGGAAGACCCTGCTGGCACTCAAAAAGCCGTATGCGGAAACAGCCTCTACCTATCTCTACCTTTCCCCGCAACGGCGCTATGCAAAAAGGATATAAGTAGGAAAAGGCCAACATGGTTGGTACAAGTATCGCGGCTTTACGTACCACGAGCAAACTGAGTGGTTGTGTATCACACGCTAAATGTCAGGAGTCAACAACAAGGCATCAACTTTGATGATGGGTGGTCATTTTAACAAAGACGAGTTTGAGCTGGTTGTCTCAAAGAAGGGGAAAATGTTGGTTGGAAAGTCATGAGAAAGGTTAATTAAGTGGGTAAGCTTGATAATTGTTGACAATGCGGGAGTGATCTTGTTGTTGAAGACGACTGGGGTAGTTGAAAGGCAGTGGTGTGTCGAAAGGAACAGAAGGGTATAGGCCGGTGTGGTGAACAGCAGCAGGAAGGGGTCCTGAAAAAAGCCAAAAAGAACCGGGCAGCAGGACGGACCAGGGGGGAATCGAACGCCCAACAGTAACATCCTTCCCGGCCACCTAGAACAGCACCTCATTTCGAGTTTAGTGTGCAGTTCGGTTCGGAAGCCGCTACCCCCAGACCCCCTATACTCCCATTACGTTCGGAATAGACACTTCAGCCACTGCCTCCGGCTGGCTTTCGTAATCTATCTCATTTTGCCTTCTAGCCCGCACGCATTGAAACAAGGGTTTCAAATAAATATAGTATTTTATAGATTTTTATAATTTTTTATAGTACGTATATATTTTCAATTATTTTCATAGTATTTTCGAGTTTTCGAGTCTGTTTGGAGAACAATATAGCCCTCGCGGCTCTCAGATGCTTTCACACGCTGTCAGCTGGTGTGAATTTTGCGCTGCCCATTGATGCTCTGTGCCTGGTTCGCCTGTTTCTGCAGGCGCGCCTGTTTCTGCAGGCGGCGAGCGTTGCCGCGCCCCCCACCACGTCGCTGGCGATCACGCCGAGCATTGCCACCTTGACCCCTCTGCTGGAATGGCCTTAGCACATCTTGGTACCAGCCAAAGAAGAATCCATTGAACATTGTTGAACGAAGGTATTGAAAATCATTGAAATGCCTTGAAATGATTCATATAAACATATTAAACAGTTGAGGTGGCTGATCCAAACTATGGACTGCCTCCTTCCATCGTCTTCCATCTGGTTGGGTGTGATTTGTGCCACAACTATGTCAAACATTGTCACACTGCGCTTGTTTTCAAGTTTTTTTCGTCACCACCTTCGCCATCCTTGGCTGCAGTTGTTGCATGTTGTTGCTAGCGCGAGGTTCCTTCCTGTCCAAAACCAGTCAGCCTCCCAAATGCCGAGCACTCAGCACTGTCTGGCAACGAGGAAGTTCAAACGATAGCAACAGTTCCTGCATTTACTGCCAAGCTACTGCCAAGTTACTGCCAGTTCAAGCGAAGCTACTGGTAAATAGTAAACATGCACACAAAGAATAAAGATGGAGGTAATCTCAAGTAATTGGGGCCCAGGCTAGCACAGCTTTTGCATGCTTTTGCAATGCATGGATGAACGACGCGAAATCATTTGAAATCAGCTTGCAACATCTTGAAATCTTCTAAGTCCTTTGTCGCAACCCACGTCAAACGCTCAGCCACCTCACCGCCGCTGGTGCTGGAAATGTAGTCTGCACAGTCTTTTAGGGTCCCGAGAGATCTCCAGAGTGGGGCGCAGAAATACACACTGATGTAGCCGAGTGCTTGAGAGATCTTAAAAGGCTCAAGGGTTTCAATATGTTTCAATGAGTCCTTTGGATTGGGTTCAAGATGGTTCAAGTATGTTCAGGTAAATTCAGCAGCTTGATGGGTCCAATTCAAAATCCAGGGGGCAAGGGCAAACCAATGTCATTTTGTCATCCAAGTTTGGGTATCCGCAAATTCGGTCCACGCCCAGCTTGACTTGTGCATAAGGAAGTAAACAGTGGTTGGCCCAGTCATGGCCCTTCTGGATTTGTTTCAAATTGTTTGGCATTGGATGGTATTGGGTGGTATTGGGTGGTATTGGTTTGTATTGGTCCAGTATTGCTATATAGTTATTTTGTAGTGAATCGAAGAGGGGGACACATTGCTCCAATGAGGCCAAACACGGTCGCTGTGAAAGAACATAAAAGAACCATGGTTGGGTTGCATCAATACACGATGATTTGAGTGCAGCACGTATATCGTCATCGTTGCAATGTGAGGGTGTTCTCTCAGCTTCACTGCTTCACCTTTATAGAGCCCTTGCGTTGCGTTGGTTCACTTCATCCCTTCCTCTTAAATTGCCCTTCCCAGCAAGTCAAAATATGTCAAAATCATATCTTAGCATCGGCGAACACCTGTACTTGTTAGAGCGCAATGCCTGTCCAAACACAAAAATATATAACGAAGCAAGCTCTCCTCCTGACTTGACGCACTTTTGTGCAGCTTGGGACATTCAAAAAATGCTAAGCTATCAACGGCACGCGGTGATGGCGATCCAAACGCCTCCAACATGTAAGCAAACACAACTGAATTTCAGCAATCGCCCCTATTTGCCCTTTCAAACATCCTTTTCTGGACTCCGCAACATATACATTACCTCTGAACATCGGCCAGTCACACGATGTCACTTGATGTCACATATATACATGTACTGTACACACGTGTATGAAAAAATAATAATAATATCATATATAATATATCTGGCTACAAGGGCTAGTGTCCAAATCCATTGATTTAAGGATCTTCCTGCCCAAGCAGTGCCCAGACCAGCTTTGATGGTTACAGTACAGTGTCTTTTCCGGGACCTACCCTCCGGTCAGAAAAAATGTACAAGCTCTCCCTCTTGTCATAGACGAGGACAAGTGAATGGAGTCAGCTTTTACGGCTTCGTCTGATTAGATTGCACTAATCGATCCTTACCTTATCTAAAGCAATTATATATATATATACTCTTATCTTATAATCGTACTTATTCATATTCATATGATTCATTTCCAGCTCCTGATGGCTGTCACCCACCTAGCTAGGCCTCGTTGGCAGAGTCATGCACAAAGAGCATTGTGGTGTTGGTCTCACAGTAGGCATCCAGGTCAGTTTTGCGCTCAAAACAACGGGCCTGCAGCACAAGAACCATGACGAACCGAAGGGGCACCCCCACTCTGGGCTAATCTGCTTTGGACATACAGGATGGCAGGATTGGGGGACACAAACTGATGAGGTGGCAGCAAAGCAATTTGCAAGTGAGTTCAACGATGTGATACTTTTGTTTGGGACTCCGGACCTGCGCAAACTGCTGCAAACTGCAAATGTTTGTCTATCTACCAAACGGAATCTGATATGCAGTGTGACAGAGTTCAAAGCGCAAAGATCATTTTACAAAAATTGCCTTGTCAGGAGTTCGTGCCCTTGAGTTCCACACAGAGCAACTTGTTCAAATGAAAACACTTACGAGCATCTTACGAGCATCTTACGAGCATCTTACGAGCATCTTACGAGCATCTTACGAGCATCACCATGCCTGCCTCGTCTTCCCAGGACCATTCATTCTGACGGCCCCAGTCATCTGAAACCCAAGTCCTCAATGAACACTTTGGTCGACTTTGGTGGTGTGTCACATGAAGCACGACTACGGTAGGCGAGGGGATAAGTATGACCTATATGACCTAAAATATGTACAAAAATACTTACAAGAATTTGTGGGTGTGCATATAATATACACGGGTAGACACGTATTATTTTTTAGCTGCCCAAACCGCTAGAGCCGCTAGAGTTTGCACATGCGCACCAATGCAAACAAATGCGTACAAATGCATAAAAAATGCCAAAAAAAAACTCACATATCAAATCAGCAGTTTCTGATAATACAAAAACAATAAATCAACACATATCATTTCATATCATCCATATCCTCAAAAAGGATAAACCTTCCTTCTTGCTCTTTTCTGCTTAAGAACCCATCACATGCGTACCTAGGCAAACATTACGAAAATATCACAACAATAACAAAGGGACAAAAAAAAACACGCAAAAATTTGACTCAAATTTTTATTTCATTACTGTGTTTTTTTCTGTGTTTGTTCGGTATTGTGGATATGTGCCTTGTTTCTTGCGTTACAAACAGTTCGTGTTTGGTGGCTTTTGGCGCTGTTGGTCGTTTCGGTGGGCTTGGGGGATATGTGTTCTCTTCGTTTGAGAGAAAACAAAGCAAGTACAAATATCCAAGAATTGAAGTGTGAAAAGTATAGTTTGTGCATAATTATGCAAATGGACAATTAAACGTAGAACTCGGTGACACAAACCAAGAAAAAACGAGAAAGAAAGAACATATTCAACCAATCTGTTGATCTATGATGACCTATGTATGAATGTAGCATGTATCTGCGTATCAAACCTAATCTGTGATCTAATCATATCTAATCAATGCATACCTATGCTGTATCAAATCTACTCAATGCATCTATATAATCTAATCTACGTGTCTGTATATGTCCGTATCATTTTTGTTTTGCATCCAAATCTATGCGGCTATGTAGGTATCTTGCATATTATTCAATACCAGTAGTGCCGCACAAGGCGGCGGCGGAAGTTTCAGAAATAGTAAACCTATAGGAGAGGTTGGTTGTTGTGAATCACGGATTGCAAAGCGAATCCACTGATGGACCGAAAGGTGGTTGGAGTTGTGTTTTTTGGGGTGGTTGCAATCGTTGCAGTGGTCACCTCACTCACAAATCCTGGATGTAGTGTGGTGTAGCGCAGTAATTGTAGTTGTAGTTGTAGTCGTAGTCGTAGTCGTAGTTGTAGTGGTGTTGATGTTGTTGAAGTTGTAATGTAGTAGTAGTTGTTGTTGTTGTAGTTGTAGTGAACTTGTAGTGTAGTTGAAGTTGTAACTGTCTTAATTGTAGTAACTGTAGTAGTTGCAATAGTTGTAGTTGTTGTTGTAACTTTAGTTGTAGTTGCAGTGTAGTGTCGTGAAATTGTAGTAGTAGTAGTGTAGTTGAAGTTGTAGTTGAAGTTTAGTTGTAGTGTAGTTGAAGTTGTAGTTGAAGTGTAGTTGTCGTGTAGCTGAAGTTGTAGCTGTTGTTGTAGTTGCAGCTGTAGTTGCGGTTGCAGTTGTAGCGCAGTTGTAGTAGTTGTTGCACTTGTAGTTGCAGTTGCAGTTGTAGTGGCACTTGTACTTGCAGTTGTAGTTGTAATAATTGTAGCTGAGGTTGTAGTTGTAGTTGCAGTGTAGTTGAAGTTGTAGTTGTGGTTGTAGCTGTAGTTCTTGTAGTTGAAGTGTAGTTGAAGTTGTAGTTGTGGTGGTAGTGTAGTTGTAGTTGTCGTTGTAGTTGAAGTTGTAGTTGTAGCGTGGCGTAGTGCAGATGCAGTTGTCTATCTATCTATCTATCTATCTAGGTATCTGTTTATCTATTAATTTGTCTTTCTGTTTATCTATCTATCTACCTATCTATCTATCTACCTATCTATCTATCTACCTATCTATCTATCTTTCTTTCTGCAAGATTGAAAACGAAGCTATTCTGCGAGACTTCCTCAGTTTTTGAACTTGACAACATCCAAAAACGCAGCAATTCAGCGAGACTTCCTCAATTCCTGAACTTGACAACATCGTACCAATGCGTTTTGCGATTTGTCCACTCCATCTGTCTAAACTACTGCGCCTGCCACGAAAAAGTGATTCCAGGTCATACGAAGTGCTGCACCTGTCACGCAAAATCATCTCAGCAAACCTGAGGATCTGACGCTCCAAAATGCAACCCTTCTCAGGAAATCAGCGCCCGGACCTCCTAACAGCTCTGAAGAACATGTCTCTTGTACTGCACCTGCCACGGAAAATGCATCTTTGCAGATCCTCTTCAAATGCCCCACGCCTGCCATCGTTTTTGGAAATGCTACAAAACCCTCACGTTTTGCTCACTTTGGACAACGTGCGCAATCCCTTTCGCCTGCCACGCTAAACGACATCTGAACGTCCAAAAGTGCTCCGAACCCCCTCAGTTTTTTGCTTTTTGACTTGGAAATGTGCTTCGCGCCACAACAGCGTGCACTTTTTCGACATCGCAACTTCTGAAAGTGCTCCGATGCTGAAGTGCTTTTAACATTTTTACTTCAAAATGTGCTTCACGCCACAACGGCGTGCACTTTTTCGACATCTCAACTTCCAAAAGCGCACCGAGCATGGTATGTTTTGTGCATTTTGCTTGGAAATGTGCTTCGCGCCACAACGGCGTGCACTGTTTCGACATCTCAACTTCTAAAAGTGCTCTGAAGCCAACGCGTTTTGTACATTTTGACTTGGAAATGTGCTTCGCACCACAACGGGCGTGCAATTTTTCATCTCTCATCTGGCCAGCTGGCTCCGCACCCGCCGCTTTAGCGAGCCTACTTTTCGACCCTCCGGAGCCACAAATCATTGGAAAACATGGAAAAAAAAAGTGGATCGCGACTTTTCTACCTTTTCATGCACCTGCATCTTCTTTCTTCTGACTCTTTCTCTTTCTTCTCCTCTTCTCTTCTCTGACTCTTCCCACCTCTGCTCTTCATCTGTCCATATTGTCGGAAGTTTGACTTCTAAACTTCCTTCGATTATAAAAATAACTAATTTCATAATATGATATAATATGTAGTTGGCAACAGTACCCTCCACCAGCACTACCAGCATCAACGCGGAAGACTCTTGGGGGTCGACATACGTTCGCGGATTGTCTACATAATATGCTGAAGTTCAGCTGATACATTACAACCACATGCCCCCAGTGATTGTATATGATACGAAACGTACGAAACCAAACCACCCCCACAATCTCTAAAGATATCTAAAGATAGTGGCAGGATATGGCAGGATGAAAGAAATATCAACAAAGGATAACAAAGGCAAGGAGGGATTGGGAATGGGGATTGGGAACACCGCCTCAGTACCTCAGTGCCTAACCGCTAGGCCACCTTTCGAGTGTGCCCTGCAATCGCACGAAAGGCTCTGCCGAGATGCGTATGTGGCCCTCCACAACGTCCATTCCCCGCTGTCGACTGTTTGAAATAGCAGCCCCCTGAGTGTGAAATTACCATGCTGCTACAGGTTGCAGTCGACTGTGTGATTGAGAAATGCTCAGCGTGTCAAGAGGCTTCCCCTTGAGGCCGCACTGGAAAAGAATTTCAAGAGGCAATTGGTGCAAATTATATAAAGAATTTCAAATTCATCAAGAGTGGAATTCAAACAGGTAAACTGGGCCGAGAATGAACTGCAGTAAGAATCCTCGGCTACCCCAGTAGAGTAAAATGTTCAAACTCAATATAAAGGAATCTTTGAAACTAGCATCTCAAATGACACGTTGTCTGGACACAGCAAGCATGGCCAGTTTAGGCCAAGCGTCGCGTTTTTGGCCTGGTAGGATCTGTGGGAACCTCGATGAGCCCAGTGAATTCAAACTTGTTTCCCATTATTCATGAGTTGATGAGTCTTGATGGCTTGGCATTGCTTGGCTGGTGTGTCATAAGAAACACCATGCTTTACCACGCCCTCAGATATGGTTTTCTTGGACCTTGGAGCCTAAAAGTGTACGAGCAAGTAATAGGGACAGAACCCATGTACCACAAGGACTCTGTCAATCCACGAGCTGGAGGTCTTGTGAACACCTTTGCACATCTTTAACACAAAATGTCACATGCAAGGATCAAGCTACGACTTGCCAGTTGCGGTGTGTTGTTTTGTTCCAAGGCGCTCTCTGAGGACTCTTGCAAAGAACATGTTCACAATAGAACTTGGTTTTGGGCTTTGGATGGCTTTGGTTTTCTTAGTTTCCTCTGCAAGTGTGCGTGCTCATGCGCTTCTGACGCATGAGACGTATAGATCTTGGGGAAAAAAGCTCCGTGGTTGTGGTCTGCATTTCCACAGGATCCAAAGCCCACGAATCCTGTAGCATTTGCAACTATGGATACAAGTAGCTTAGAGTCAGAAGATAAAGTTGCTATGAGCTTAGTTGCTATGAGCTTGATTAGGAGGATGTTTAATCTTTTCAACAACTAGGCGCCGGGACAGCACTACAAGTTGTTTGTTTCTGCCGCGATTCTTCGACCAGGAAACACTTCAAAGACTCGATTGTGATACAAGCAAATACGCGAATCATGAAAATTAGGTGAGGATTAGTTTGGAATTTGGGATCCACTAAGTGCAAAGTTGAGAAAATTGTCCATAGAGTGCAGTTTCCATCTCTCTTTGCGTTGCTCTTTGCGCTCAACTCTCCAGGTCTCTACACAATTTCTCCATGCCATTTCCCTCCATCGGTAGCATTGCCACTTGGGTTTCGATGGGCTTCGATGTGAGCCCCTGGCAACGCGATAGCATAACGCAGACGATGTGAAAGAGGCACCACCTATGCCTCAGAAATCAAGAAGGCGGAATCCAGCAATCCATCCATCCAAAACCATACAAAATCATGCAATTAAACCTAATGTATCCTCATGTAACCTCATGTTTCCAACGTGGACCCTTGACAAAACTTGATGTAAGATGCCTCACAGGCCCTCATACACATCCTTAAAACGTGAAATCAGGGACTATCCACAAAGCAATTGCAATGTATATATAATATTATATAATCATTGTACATTGTATATAATCAATACATGATTGAATGTAATGGTTGTGATGCATCAATGGTATCAAACGGGCAGTGCTATGACTTCAAAAAAAACGAATTAGTTCCCGCTATCGGCACACCAATAGCTGGGCCAGGCTTTACATGTTGTTTAGCATGGAAGGCAAAGTGTGATGGTAAACTTCCAAAGGTTCCGCGATGGGACCAAAAAAACGCTTAAACGCTGATTTAAAAAATTGCAAATTGTACCAGCGTCTAGGAGCCCTGAAATGCCCTAAATATGTGGCACTAAGGAAACTCATCCGCAAAAGGATCGCTTTCAAGCAGGCAAAAAGTTGTAGTTGGTCAAATAATTTAATCCACCCAGCAAAAAAAGGACACCCAACAGCCGGGGTTGATTACATCGGGCGTGGATGCCAATGATTTCGGAAGATTTCAGAAGATGAATGATTTCATGCAATCGTGAATGCTGTGCTCAAGTGCTAATGAATCAATTGAGTTGCTCTTGTAGTCTTTGGCGTAAGAAATCCAGTTTGGTGGCACGTAGGACCCGTTCGTGTGCACGAAGCAGCCACTGTTGACCTGACCCGAAAGCAAGGCCATGAAAGTGTGTTGGATCAAATAACTCGCACTGATCGTCCCATGTGTTGATCCTAGAATTCAAGAGCGTTTCTTGAATCAATGATGATCAATGGCTGGAACTAACTAAGCTTGTAAACTTGACCTCTGGTTTATTCTGGTCATGCAATTAGATGTGTCACAAGATGTGTCTTGCTGCTTGTCCCATGTGGCGTTTGGCCGCTTTGCCGCTTCAAAGACCGCATCAAAATCAAAACACATCCACACAGTATAAGAGTATCTCAAGTAAGTCCGGTTGGAGGTTGGCGAATCAGCCACATTTACCAAGCACTGTCTATCAGTTGCCAGTCCTTTAGCTTTGGCCATTGCCAACTTCTCCGATATTCAAACGGACTGTCTTGTTCTTCTACATCCTCCTGAATGGCCAACTTCTTTCTGCCAGCAAGTATTTTAAGTTGCATTTGCCCTGGTTCCTGCAGCCAACAAATTGAATGCTGGTCAGTTGCTTCCTGGTGAGTGTTCTCAATTCTTTGAATGTCTTGAATGGATAATGAAGAGCATAGTCTAATTTGGGTCTCTCTACATTCAGCTGGAAACTCTCAAGGTCCAAGTGTTTGGACGAGCTTCTTGGTCGATTCCATCGCTGGGTAGAAAGGAGAAGCCGATGCAGTTGGCTTCCATCTCACACCTCCGGCGACCTCACTGCAGCTGCGAGGAGACACTGAGGCACTGATCTTCACAACATTTCACGACTATGTTTAAAAGAAAACTGAAAGAGAACAACTATCTGCAGAACTATATACAGTGCACAACCCCTGCAGAGTAGTGCTGAATGTGCTGATGATGATGCTGTGCCTGCAATCTGCCAATGCAGCAAGGTCACAATCAAGTAAGGATGCCCCATTTCCGTAGTAGCCATTCACCCGGCAATTCGGATCTTCAGGATCACAGCCTAGCACGCGAGTTTGACTGCTCTTTGTGAAGAAGTCTGTTCACAAATTTGAACATGTTCAGCCGGCTACGCCAAAAACTCTTTTGATCTTGAACATCTTTACACGCTGCTTTAAAGAGGTTGAAAGGCATCATGTACCAGTTGCTGCCATTTCTACCAAGCCATACAGAAAATCAAGAGCAAAGACATCGGACTCACTTGCATGCCTTGGATGCTCCACCAGCTTTGCAACTCTATAGATCCAATCTCTATATTGCGTATGTGAATCAATATGATGCACAATATAATCATAATATTGTATTATTGTGCATTATTAGATTTTGTACAGGATGACATAACATACATAACATCCTTTTGATTCGCATCAAAGCCACTGCAAGGCTTGATCTACAGTATCTCATATCGCCCGGCTTTCTCAATTTTAAACCCCCAAAGCCTTCAGGTCTGCAAAATCCTGCTCCCACCAGCTCGTACGTCTGCAGGGCTTTTGCACAGAAACTCTCTCGATAGCAACCAAGTCAGAGGTCATCAGCAATTGCTAGATTTCCCATGATGTCAGTCTACAATGCTCGCTTCTATATACCTTTAGTCTCCAGCAATGAGGCAGTCAAGTCAAGCTGAAACGAATCTTGCAGGCACTTTACAGACAGTATTTGTTGCCAATGGTTCTTCCCGAGACTCTGAACCAATCAAAAACATGGTGACAGCGCCTCTAAGAGGCCAGGCGTTTTCCAACGTTCATCCAGCATCGTCATTTATTGATTTTGCAAAAAAATGTGCGTTTTACGGATTGGATTGAAAATTGTCATCACAAAAAAAAACTAAAAGTGCTGTAAGGGTCTCCAAACCAAGTGTGTTTTTGCAACCTTCGCAGGACTTCGCAACCTTTTTTGGTCCAAGTTCGACGTCTCAAACTTTGCGGTTGCGCACTTTGTGACACAGTTGGCCAAGTGATGTCCATAGGGAATAGCGCGAAGTTGTAGTTGTAGTAGAAGTGCATAGGAAGTTCTTATGACGTAGCATCAAGTAATATGCGTGTATATATATACATAACTTAGCATGAAGTTGTTGTAGAAGTACAAGAGAAGTTCTTATGACGTAGCAACAAGTAATATATATATATACACGATTATATACGTGTATATATATATTATATATATAAATGACGGAGCTTGAAGTTGTAGTAGAAGTACAAGGGAAGCTCTTATGATGTAGCATCAAATAACATTATATATATAGTAGCATGAAGTTGTGGTAGAAGTACCAGAGAAGTTCTTATGACGTAGCATCAAGTAATATTACAATATATACATAGTTATAATCAATTATATGTATAAGTTTGCAGCTGCTTTTTCTTCAGCAGCACCTTCGTGTAACTAACTTCACAGCATGCACATCCACAGAAGGCTGGAGCAAAAGCCAGGCTGTGGTAAGAAAAGAGAGACCGGTCTATAAAAACAGGCTGATCAAACCTGCAATCCATATTTATCATGGCGTGAAGTTGATGTTGAAGTTGAAAAGGCTTCTCATGACCTAGCATCATGTAAGTGTGCAAGTGCCAGGACGTTATTGCACCAACCCACCCCCCAACCAACCTCACCCCAAGATAGACAACAAGAGACACGGAAGGGCAGGGAGAAAAAAAACAAGGGAAGAAAAAAAAATAAACACCCGGCCTCTTACGGACGCTGCCACCAAAAACATGAACCGCATTCATCCTTATTCAATCTATTTCATTCTACGAGTATTTCAAGATAACGTGTTTGAACAACTTCAGGCAACTTCCAAGGAAGCTTGCCAAGTCCCGCATGTCTGATGGAGTGCTTGATGGTTTCTGGTCACTTCACTCACCTTTTCCAAATTCTCCTTCCAACTAAATGATTTGGTTTCACATGTTTCACCGAGTTTCACCACTGCTCATTTGCCTTGCTCTCAATTTCCCTCAATTGATTGTCTCGTCTTGGTCTTGTTCCATGTTGTTCCCATGTATTTCCTGCCTTGGTGTAGTTCTGCCATTTCTCTGCATGGCACACGGAGCCGTATGGCTTCAAGGGTGGTGTCTCTGAGTAGTTCGTCGCCAAGTTGAATGAGACCTTCGAACTGTCCGAAAGCGATCTGACGCAAAAAATACCAAGTACAAACAAATAATCGAGGAATCTTCGACTCTTCGATGCACTTAATAAATCGTGACATCACAATTCAGAAAAGTAGTCTGATTCCACAGCTCCTTATGCCGTGTATATATATATATGATTATATATATAATGCGCGTCAAACAATCGCATGGCATTGCGTAAGTGCTTTGATTCCAGTTAGGGCATTTAGTGAAGCCGAGTGGATACAGTATTAGTTGCTAGGCATGATAGTAGCATGATGGATTGCATCATGCATCATGGTATCTCTTGGCGCTGTATCGCAAAACCCTGTTTTTATTCTTTGACAGTCTGAGGCATATTCAAGTCCAGATTGTCGGGAGGATCATAGAAATTTGCACATGACAAGAAGACATAGATTGAGAATATGATAGAAAATGACCGTGTGGAGGAAATGTGTCTACTGAAACAATGTGTTTGTACATATGACCGTGTTAGACTTGCACACTTGCATGCACAATAAGTACTCGCTATGCGCTGCAATCTATGGGTTCGACATGGTTCGACCTGGGCAGCCCACATATTTGGATTCCTCGACAAGAAATCTGAAAATGCCTAAAACATATTAAAACATCCCAAAAAATCCTAAAACATGTCACTCAGCCAGATAGAAGGCGATATGGGTCTGATACGTAGGACTGATCTGTGCTGTGAGAAGTCTGTTCACTGAGAAACGAGGGAGCTTTCTTGGGCGAAAGGTCTGATTGCAATCAGAACAGGTTCAGGTCAAGACTTCCCCATGCTGCTGGCCTTGTCATTCGCTCCCCACATACAGTATTTGTGTCCACCTGCGGTGCGACAAACAGCAAATCCTTTTAGGATGCGAACTATGTCTATGTACACCATTAATCACCATTGTCTGGTCAGGATCAAATCAGCTCTGCAACCCGTTCCCAATAAGGAAATTCAGGACTCGTTTTGAAAACAGTGGGACAGTATGCAACAGTCCATTCACTTCACTCCATGCCCACCTGTGCGATGGACAGTTCCTGCCCATTGCTTGCCCATCTGCACTGCTGCAATCTTGCACTCCGCAGCGGTCTTGATATCGGTGTCATCCCTGAGTGCGCACACATTCCCCAGAGTCCAACATCCGACTGATCCCGGCTCCCGAAAACACAACATGGTCTCCCGTCTCAAAGACCCGGGCTTAGACCGGAAAACTCAAAACACCCTTGACACAGCCCAACGCCAACATTGAGAAGAGCCACGTGCAGTAGGCTTGCCAATAGGTCCTCTCATAGACCTCACTCGCCAAATGCCATCATCTGCGCTGCCACCAAGCACAGCTTGGCTTCAACAATGCGTGCTACCTAGCCGTATCAAGCCGTAGCCACCTTTTTCATACTTTTTCACCATTCCTGTACCTTTGATGCAACCTGCAAGTCCTAATGTTGTTTGGCGGTTCGATTCAACGGCTCGTTAGGCCTTGATGCTTATTACAACCACAATTGCCTTGATCAATCTGTTCTGCACAGCACTCAGCCCTGCTGCAAGCTAGTTTGCATATATATATATATCATATAGATATGTGTGTTTTTTCACGAGCACAATGGGCTCCCAACAGGATCTTACGCAAATCCTTTGCCAGGACAATTGCCGGGTGAAGTTTGAAGATCACGAATTAGAGAAGTTTTCAAACAATTGGGAGTCAAAAATGGCACAATGGAATGAGAAACAGAGAGTTTTGAAGTTGCATATAATCATATGTATATTGCTTATTGTAAATCTAAAATATATCGCTAGAGTATGCTAGAGTGCTAGAGCTCACTCCTACCATGCAACCACAATTCAGGAAAGGCATTACTCGAACGTGGTATAATAGCACCACAGGGCGACGTTGTCCATCTTCAACCAAACTCCGTCCCTTCTTCGAGAGGTAGCACGCGATTTCGAGGTTGGGAGAAGGTTTCCTGTTTGCCCCTGACCAGATTTGCCCAAATTCCTCCGTCACCTCTAAAAGAGAATAGTGGAAGCTGGCCAAAACTGACATCACATAACCGAAAGAACCTGACAAACGATTGAAATCTCTTTGCAACTTCAGTACGATTATTAAAATTATTCTTGCAACCCCGGACCGTTGAAAACAACAATTTCGAGCGTTTCCTGCAAAAAAATGCGAACAAGAAAAAAGGCCAACGAGCGCAAAATTCAAGAAAGATCATTTTGAATTGGGATTGCATGGCTTGAGGACTGAATTTGAGCGTTTTTGAAAAGTTCCCACAGTTCTTGGGAACCAAAAAATCTCGAAGCCTAAATTTAAGTGTCAAACGAAATGGGGGTCCGTGCACATGTACGATCATGTACGGATGTATGTATGCCTGCCTGCCTGCCTGGCTGGCTGGCTGGCTGGCTGGCTGGCTGTGTGTCCGTCTGTATGTCGTACGAGTACGTCCGTACGTGCATATTTGACATCCAGCATGTCGTCTGTTTTTTCTGATAAATCATATTTAATCACATTATATATTCATTATTAATCTATGTACGAATTCGTGTCTGTGGGGTTTGCAGTGCATCCAAATCCTTGAGCGCTTGAATGTCTTTGAACCCTTGGGTGAGAAGACATTTCGTTGTTGGATGAAGGCTGAGTGCTCACGTGGCATCAAAGCAAAGATATGACACAACATGGCTTATAATAAGCAAAAGGATACTCAGATGTACAGTAGTCAGCACAATGGAAGTCATCAAAATGACACACTTAAAAACACATTAAAGAAACGCAAAAAATGCCCGGAATGAGGTTTGGTAAGCGCTCAACTCTGGGTTTGTAGCCGAAGTCTGCCTGGGTGCCTTGGGTGAAGGCTTTCAACGAGGCTCGCATGTGTTTCATGGGAAAATTGGGAAATACCGGAAATACCTCTTGCAAGTTTTGCCAAAGAAAATCCACACGAACGGATGTCGTCATAACCTCACCCAGCCTGAGCATAAAGCTTGACCGCACGTTTTGAGGGGTTGAACTCATCAATTCATCTTGTGCTGCTAGATTTGATGAATGAGTAAGCGACATTAACAATGCATTCAAAACCAAAGGATCTGGATCCAGCATTCGTGAACTGGTCAACATGCATTGATAGAATTCATCCGACATCAAATGCTCTAGTGCTTTGAGAAGAATGCACTGACTAATCAACGGAAGAGAAACGGTTTTTACCAAGAGGGACCCTGATCTGACAGTTTCGTCATATTGCAAAAAGAGGATGAAAACAGGCCAAGTCAATTGCGTCTTCAGAGATCTTCAATTTATGATCCTTCCAATTTTCTAATGGCATGGACTCTCTAGCTAGATTAAATTAGATTAATTACTATTAAAAGTCTATTAAATAGAATGCTTCTGCCACTCGCATCCCCTCATGGCTGACAAATGAGCAAAGGGTTGCCGAGGATGGTACGAACCAATACCTGTCAAGCATCACGTGAACGCTTGCCACAACCTTTTGTTCTTATTGGTCTTGTCCCTTGGAACCAAAGAATAGGTTGCATTGAACCATTTATCCGCAAGTACTTTCCTCCATTGGTTTGATTATTTTGTATTGTTTTGTCGGAATAGAAAGACAAAGCGTTCTTCAAAGGGATTTCTTCAACAAGCTAGTGCAGACAGCTGGTTGAAGAATCCTCTCGACCTTTCCAATATACCCTTCCTTGGGGGGCCATCACAGCAAGTCGGAGCTTTCGCCGAGCGTTCGCGGAATTTTGAGCTTTTGGTTTAATCTTGGAAGACCGCAGATTGTGACGAAAACTTCCCCCATGCTGCATACGGGACATGCATGTCATATACCCATGTATCAGACTCCATCACATCAGGAATAGCCCTAACTTCTCTTCTGCAAGCTTTCCCGAAACATCAACTTTTGCGAATGCATGTCATTGAGTCTCAACACTTCTTCGTAACTCAAGTCTTCGTGTGCGTGGGCAACTTTTCAAGACACTGCTGAGGCTAAAACGTCTGAAATCAAAGCATATTAGACAGGCACTGTAGATTTCGCACATCCACAACAGAACAGGTAACCTCTAATCATGTGTAAAGGAACTTCATTTTGTTGAACTTTATTCGAACATATGCAATCAATCGACAACATTTACTTGTTCGCAAATTGCGCAGCTATTCGCAGCTCCTGTCCTCCAGAATGGTCTCGTTCAAAGTCATTGGCAGTATGGGCGCCAAGCTGGCATTGTGGAGAACATTGGAGAACTGAGAGAAAATCTTGGACTCTACTTTTGCAAAGGCGGTTTCACTCTGAGCGCTCATCAATTTGGCAAAGTGACTGTGACCAGAGTACTAGTAGCCTCACATGCCTTCATTGTGTTTGAGGGAATCAAAATTGTGACAAAGTCTGCTTTATATAGGGTGTGAAATAGTTTTAGGATTTTTTTTTGAACAGGTTTGGGATTTTTTTTTTGATTTCTTGGCTGGTACCATTTGCCTAGTGTTTGCAACGGTTTGGAACTTGAATTTGTCATTTTGCATGGTATTTGCAACATTTGGGCATGTTCACCTTCCATTTTGCATGGGATTTACTACATGTGGGCATGTTCACCTTCCATTTTGTATGGTATTTGCCACATTTTGGCATGTTCACCTTCCATTTTGCATGGGATTTCCTACATGTGGGCATGTTCACCGTCCAATTTGTATGGTATTTGCCACATTTTGGCATGTTCACCTTCCATTTTGCATGGGATGTTCTACATGTGAGCATGTCCACCCAAATATTTACAGATGCGGAAGCTTGGGATTAGATAAAAAGCGGGTGGGGGGGATTGAGGGACGGCGCTAGCTATCTATCCAGCTAGCTAGCTATCTATCTAGCTAGCTATCTATCTAGCAAGCTAGCTATCTATCTAGCAAGCTATCTATCTATCTAGCTATCTATCTACCTATCTAGCTAGCTATCTTGCTAGCTATCTATCTACCTATCTAGTTATCTAGCTAACTATCTATCTAGCTATCTAGCTATCTAGCTTTCTATCTATCTAGCTATCTATCTATCTAGCCATCCAGCTGTCTGTCCAGCTATCTAGCTATCGAGCTATCTAGCTAACTATCTATCTAGCTATCTAGCTATCTACCTTTGTATCTATCTAGCTATCTATCTATCTAGCCATCCAGCTGTCTATCCAGCTATCTAGCTATCGAGCTATCTATCTAGCTATCTATCTATCTAGCGAACTATCTACCTATCTATTTAGCTATCTATCTATCTATCTATCTAGCTATCTATCTAGCTACCTCTTTGTCTATCTAGCTAGCTATCTATCTATCTAGCTATCTATCTAGCCATCTATCTATCTAGCTATCTATCTAGCCATCTATCTATCGAGGTATCTAGCTATCTATCACTCTAGCTATCTATCTATCTAGAAACTATCTATCTAGCTGGCTATCTATCTATCTAGCTATCTATCTACCAAGCTATCTATCAGCTATCTATCTATCTATCTATCTATCTATCTATCTATCTATCTATCTATCTATCTATCTATCTATCTATCACATGTAATCCTGTCAGCTTTCCAGAGAAGGTTAGTTCGCAAAAACCAACTAATGTAACTTGGGTTTAAGTTTAAATAAAAAAAAAGCGGGAGGGGGGGATTGGGGAGGGCGCAGCGCCTCCCCCCAAAGCAGAATGCAAGCACCTCTTCTCACATGTTACGTTGCTAGTTTTCAAGAGAAGGTTGGTCATGTGATACTCAGGGATGTAAATACTGTGCAAAATGCATCTTACATGAAAATCAAGTATTTAAAGCAGGCAAAGCAAAAAAAAAAGCAGAGAAGCAAAGAAACAGGAAACGCACAAAAGCAAAACAGCAGAAAGGCAAAGAAGCAGGAAAAGCAGAAAAGCAGAGAAGCAGGAAAAGCAGGAAAAGCAGAGAAGCAAAGAAACAGGAAAAACAGAAAAGCAAAAAAGCAGAAAAGCAGAGAAGCAGAGAAGCAGGAGAAGCAGAAAAGCAAAAAAGCAGAAAAGCAGAGAAGCAGGAGAAGCAGAAAAGCAAAAAAGCAGAAAAGCAGAGAAGCAGGAAAAGCAGGAAAAGCAGGAAAAGCAGGAAAAGCAGGAAAAGCAGGAGCAAGCAGGAAAAGCAGGAAAAGCAGGAGCAAGCAGAGAAGCAGGAATCCAAAAATAATTCCTAAACCTGATCAAAAAAAAACCTAAAATAATTAGCCCTCCTTTAAATACTCTCAAGCATGTTTTTCGGCGTCTTTAGCATGTCGGCCAACGAAATGAATCACAATGATAGGCTGATAGGATATGAATTGTTTCGATGCCTTTGTCATTTTGATCACTTTGTCTGGGCCCTCGGAAGCCTCTTCATGTCTTGATCCAATTGGTCGAAGTCAAACCCGCGGAAGCCTGAGGCAACTGAGAAATGCTTCGTGAAAAAGTTATTGTGAACTGATGTGAGCTGTGTCAAGATGTGTCAGCATGTACCTTCTGCACCGCATTGTGTTCCATGTTTGAAGTTCTGGAACACTTCTGGAACTCAACGTCTTCAAATGCCTTCAGGATCTTCAGGTCTTACCGGGTATGCTTCGGCAGATTTTGTGAAGGTCTTACGTACGGTCGCCTTCGCCGTGATTCATGTGATTCCGGATCACCGGAATGTGGCCTTGTCTCTGCCTCTGGGATCTTAATGAATTTCCCGTACATGGTTTGTTTTTCGGGGAGATTTTCTTGATATTATGTTCAAAATTGTTCTATAATATGTTCCAAAAATGTCTCGATATGTTCTAATGTGTTCGAGGGTTGCTGAGGTCAGGGCGGTCTAGCATGGATTGCCTGATGTTTGAGAAATGTTCATGAATTTTTGAAGGATTCTGTGGAGCTTTTGGCCCACTCTCAAAATCTCCACCGTCGAGTTGGGGAGCTGGGTCCGTCAACACTTACACGTGGCAGCTCTGAGTTTCAAGCAGACCAGAGGTCAAACTGCCTCCCAATGTCGCAAAGATTCGCAAAGTGTTTTTTCGATTTTTGACGCATTTTTACGTTTCTAGCATTTCATGTCAAGTATCCGACAAGCAACAGATATCTGACGGAAGTCATATTATGTTTTATTCTGCTCTAGACCCAGCCTCTGGCAAGTTGAGGGACTACTGCACGGTAAAACGGGCAACGCCTAGGTCATGCATGTATGGTGCAATTTTTGGTTCTGAGGCGACAAAATCACCGCGCAACACGACAAAATGCTCTTTCGTTTGCAGAGATCCAAGGTGCATGCAATGCATAGAGACGCTCTTGTTTTCAACTCTTCTCTGAAAGGCCTGAGGTGCTGAGTCTGCCACGTTTCACTGGCACCAAATGGCTTCAAATCAGCCATCAGCAGAGCCACTCTGGTAGCCAGAGAACATGGTGGAAAACGTTGGCCCAGAGAATTGCTATGTAAATGCCAAAGTGGTGGTAGCGGGTGGGTTTTTGACTTGAACCTCACACCACTCCACAGAAAAAATCAAAGGTTAAATACTGCAAACTCACTCACTTGATTGTCACAACGCATGGTTATGCTCCTCGACAAAATGCTCTTTCGTTTGCAGAGATCCAAGGTGCATGCAATGCATAGAGACGCTCTTGTTTTCAACTCTTCTCTGAAAGGCCTGAGGTGCTGAGTCTGCCACGTTTCACTGGCACCAAATGGCTTCAAATCAGCCATCAGCAGAGCCACTCTGGTAGCCATCCTCGGGCTCTGCTGCCCCATCCTGCACGAGGAATGTCTCCTCAGAAAGCGCTGCGAAAGCATCCACTGCCTCCGAAGTAGCAAAGCTAATGTCGCCTGCCACACGAATCAAAAGCTTCCAGAATGGTTCAAGGTTCAAATGAAGTCGTTGCCAGGAAGGTTGCACAATGTCAAAGCGAAATCTGCTGATTGGGTCCGCAATGTTTTGAGCCGACGGCACCCACTCAAAATGAGGATAGATCTGCAAGCGTCCGAACCAGCACCATAGAAAGGACATCACACAATTGATTGCGGGGTCACGGCCATAGCCCTTGCTGAGGCAGCTTTGCCCTGGTTGGTTGTCGATGTAGCTCACAACGTAGGCGGAAAAATGCTTCCGCAACAGGACAAATGCAATGACCTGGGTCAAGATTTCTAAAGCAAAAATGTAGGCCTTCCGTTTGGCGAAGACCTTCAAAACTTCTGGTGGTATGACACCAGCACAAAAGAGAGTCTGTGCACCGATCTTGAGGACAATCCCCCAGCCGTTGATCAGTAGCGGTGCCTGATTGGTATCCCACTTCTTGGGGATGTTCTCATGGTCACTGGCATGCCAAACGTGTTCCCCCAGTTTGAAGAAAGCATCCGTGTAGAGCACCGTAACAGGTTGGTCGGCCTGAAATGGAAATCGCCTGGGTGGCATGCATGGAATCAGGGCCCGTAAAGTAGTGAGCACCGCTGTCAAAGCATGAGTTAATTGGTCATTCTCAACTCGATCAGAAGGTAGGTGGTGAGCACGAGCATACAAAGGCGCAAGCAGTGCCATACCCATCTGTCCAAATGAAGTCGTTTGCAAGAAAATCAACTTGCCTGACAGTGTTTGAGCTTCTTCTGGCGTCAAGCGATTGGACTGCAGGTAGGTAGTGATGTTGGTCATCAGACGTTCGACCCGTTGTGGACAAGGGTGCAGAGAGGCATCATGGGTCGTGGTCGAAATCATCACCCCGAGAATCTTCTGAATCTTCGCTGGTGGTTGGGCCTTCTTGGCTTTTGTCTGTAAGCCCAAAACCTCAAATAGCAAGGCAAAAGATCGAAAGCCTGATTCGGCTAACGGGGCTGGTTCGGTGGCCCCGAAGTCATCAACGAAGTGTAGGCTTGGACCCACAAGAGCTTCCGCGCCAGCGTAGTCAGAGTGTCGGCTGCCCTGTTGAAAGACCAAACCGACGACACCGCGCCGAAACTCATAGCATTGTGGCGAAAAAGGACAACTCCTCCTGGTGTCCTCATGAAGGTGTAGTTCTCTTCAATACATGCGACAGCGAACTGTCGGTAGGCTGAGGCCATGTCGTGCCCCCAAGTGAGGCACAAGTTGCATCCATCTGCCAGGGCCACCGCTGAAGCAATGTAGTTGTCCACAGTGTGATGCAAGGGGCTGTCACTCACCCGGACGGTTGAGTTGTGCCCGCTCCTCCTCCAATCTTCACATCTCCGTACTTTATCTGACTGCTGCACTGCAAAGCACCCTGCTGACAAAACGTGGTGGTGCGGCGCTGGCATCATTGGAAGCCCATTCACTGACGTGCCAGGAACCCCCCATTCAGCCGGAGTCTCGAAGGGCCCGTCAACTCGGCCCATCTGATGCTCTTGCACGAGCTCATCCAACATCGATTTCCAGTGAGGATCGATGAGCCTGGAATTCAGCTTGCGGGCAACGTAAGCTTTGTTAACCTGGAGAAACTCTTCCCTGGAAATGGGACTAGTGTAGCGGCTGTCCAATCGAGGGAGCCAGCCAGCTCCAGGTGAAAGTTGCCCAGTGGTCGGGAAGCCGACGGTGAGCTCCTTGGCAAGGGTGGTCACGTCTGGGTACTTGATCTGTTCCAGGAGCCACATCCAAAGCGGCACTTGCAGAAAGCCCCCAGATTGAGAGTACACCTTGGCGACATGGTTGGGCAGAGTTGCCTTCCAATGGTCGTGAATCTCACGAAAGTCATCAGCCAGTCGCTGTAGGTCTGCGATCACCTCAAGGCGCAGCCGGTTGACATCTCCCCATCGCCGCCACTTGTCAAAGACCTGAATGATGCCAGGTTCAATGTGTGAATTGCAGAACAGCGGATGGACTGCCTGGTCAGTGGCCTCCCAGTGATCCCACATGTTGAAGGTTGGACGTTTGGTGCAAACCTGTTGAGTCCACTGTGTTGGGCCCAAGAGCAAAGGTTCATTGGCTGCCAGCTCCAGGACGAATTGCAAAGCGCTTGTACGTGGTGCAGGAGTTGGTGCAGCCAACGCGCCACATTGTGAAAGTATCAGCAAAATCAGTAGCTTTGCCACCTGGAAATGCCAGGCGTTGGCTAGCATCCGATGCCGAGCCCGTTCATGGACCCCAGGAGCCTGAGTGAAGCCAGCCGGGAAGCCTTGGAGCTGCTCTTTCACCCCAATCGGTGGGGTGTGGAGTCGCCCCGTGGAGTCTGAGAGCATGGCAGTGTCTTGGTAATGCCATGGGGCATATTGCCGATTGTCTTGTTGCCAGCGGAGTTTCACAGAAGGAGGGATGTGCCCCTTCATTTTCTTCGGAGGAGGCCTACCTGCCTGGTTTGGGGCAGGCGTTGTAAGGCATGGCAACTTGGCCTGCCCGCTCCTGACCTTGTCATGAAACTCCAATCCATCTGTCTGGATGTCATCGGTCGTCACCCGTGGCAAATCCAAGATGAGCTTGGGGAGCTTGTGGACCTTTTGCCATTGCAGCGGTTTGCCAGTCATGGGACAGCTGCTCAAATCACACCACCTGAGGCGTGTCCAGAACAACCTAGGTCTGGAAATGATGGAGAAATCAGCCGGGTCAAGTAGCACCGGTTGGGCTTGAAGTGCATCAGTGAAAAACCTGACATCACCTGGGTTCTGCATCAACACGTTCTCAATCAACGGCACTGTGTCGCGCGGCTTGACCAGCTTCTCCAAACGGCTCAAAAACTTGGAAAACCTGACAAACTTGCTGCCCTCGTGGCCTTCTTTGCCCTGAGCACTCGCAGCAATGCCACTGAAGTCGGGGCACGGTGGCCCGCCAGAAACAAAGATGATAGCCAAACCTGACGGGTCAATCTGTTGGATCGTCTTGGCAAGCTCCGAAGGGTTATCTGCATCCACGTCTCCTCGATGTTGAACATGAGGAAAATGGCGATCCAGGACCCGAATGCAGTCGGGGCATGTCTCCCAGGAGAGATAGGCCAGCGGTCGGCCGATCACCTCCTCCAGTGCCAGCTCAGCGGTGCCGACGCCGTCAAAGAAAGCCAGGTGGATGAATTCCTTCCCCATAGAGGTCAAGGATGGGGTCAGTGCCACAGTAGTGTTGGTTGTGCCCTGGTCGGGTATCAGAGCAACTGGGGCACTTGCTCTGACCCCGGGCTGTCCCTATTTGTCTTTCGGTGCCTCATTCGGAGGCCGTGGCTGTTCCCAATCCTTCTGTCGCTGCCATGATTGCCATCCGCCACCTGAAGAGCGATGTTGCCATGAGGAAGAGCCCTGAGATGGAGTCCAATCTGAATGACCCCAACGTCCTTTTCCATATGGAGCCCAGCGATACAGAGGCTTCTGTTTGCCAGACTTGCCAAAGCCCTTGGGTGGATCGGCCTGTCGGCCTTTGGCACCACTGCTGGTCTTCTTGAGAGAATCTTCCTTGGCCATGTGTTCGGCAAAGCGGTCATAGTCATTGATGATCTGCTTGGCTGCCGCAGAAAAGGTCATGCCATCCCGCATTGCCATAGCAATGCGCCATCCACAAGCGCTCCAGTACAAGCTCATCTGCTCGCATTTGGCTGGCTGAGACCTGGCTCTCTGGCACATCACATCGCAGTACTCAGTGATGTCCAACTCATCACCCAATTGCACCGAGATCATGGCCCATTTGGCCGCCACGATGCCATCCAAGACGGCCAGAATAGAGCGAGGCTGCCAAACCGCTTCCTCCTTCTGGACCAGGGATCCGTCCTCCACGTAGAGGTTCGTCAGTTTCTTCTGACCTTTGGCAAGGGGATTCAAGTCCCCGTTGCTCTGGAAGGATCGATGTTGGAGGATCTCTCCAAGGTGGAGAGGCGTGTAGAGCTTGGATCGATGATGCTCCCACCACACACGAGCCACTATCGATTCAGCTCCCATCAATTCCTTCACCGGAAACTGTCGGTCCCTTCCATGGAGTTGCGCACTGTTGTACTTGTTCAGCAAGGAACTCCAAACGCCATTTGGGAGCGTCTTCGGGACTTTCTCATCTTTGGGGTCAGCCGGAGAAGTGGTCGGAGTGGCAGTCTGTGGGGCCACCACCTGAGCATTGAGATGGTTACCTGCAGATTTCAGCCAATGACTACGGGCCAGGTTCCACATGTGCAAGATCATGGCGTGGGCTATTGGCTTGTCAGCATCCGCCACCGTGGCCACATTGGGTCCATCCTTCCAGCCAGCCATCAAAGGCGTAATCA